TTCATGTATCAGCTTAAATATAATTTCTTCAGAGAGGCCTCTCTGACCACCCCATATACACTGCTCCTATCACTATCACATCATTTTCTTCACAATACTTGTCACTATGCAAAATGATAACTCTTTTTGTTTGTTTGCTTGTTTGTTTTTAGTTGTCTTTGCCTATTCCCAGACTTTTAGCTCCTTGAGAGCAGGGACACATTCTATCTTATTCACTGCAATATCCTCAGGCTCTAGCCCAGAGTCTGGTTCATAGACGGGCTTAATAAATATTTGTTGAATTAATAAATGATGTTTTATGTCTTCACTTGGGTTCCCCAGAAGCATACCCTGAGACACAGATTTGAATGCATATCGGTGATCTCAGGAAACACTGTTGGAGTAGTCAGGGAATGAGACAGAGTAGGGGAGACAGCCACAAGCCAATCTGATCCCAAAGCACTATTCTTACTGACGAATTCAAAAGTCAATCTGATTGGGTTCCCATTGAGGCTCTGAAGCTTATCATTATAGCCTTGGCCAAGTTACTTACCCCTGCTGACTCCCAGTTTCATTGCCTCTACAGGGGCTGCTGTGTGGAGAATACACTGCATTGGGCGTGGGAGTGGGAACAAGTCAGGAGAGCATTTAGGGAGCTGTGCCGCTGTCAAGAGTGTGGAGTCCTGGACCAGTGTGGTGTCCGGGTGCAGTGAGGATGACGGAAACAAACCTGGATTTCAGGAGTTTGAGCATACTGAAAAAAGTCTACATGAGGTGGGGTGGGCATTGGGTGGAGGGCCCAAAAAGGGAGAAGTTAGAGACATCTGTAATACTGTCAACAATAAAAGAAAACATTTTTTTTTTATACTGTGTCCTTAGATGATGGCTGGGTGCTGATTCAGTCAAATATACAAAGGCAAACAGGCCAAAAAATTGTATTATGGTTCTATTTTTTTACTGTGGTTCTCCAGATAATTCAGGATGTGATCGAGTCATTGGGGGGAATTATCAGCATCATGAAAGTACAAAATTTCAGAATTCCTCCTGAAAAATTCTTAAACTCTAGAGACAAGTTCCTAGACACCCTGGGATCTAAAGATTCCTGGTGGAGAAATAGGTTTACTGTCATATTTTGTACTGCCCAGGGAAGATGTCCTGTCCTAATTTGGCCATGGGGAAGCCCCATCATGGTGGCAGCACCTACATCCTAATAGAAGTTATGTTGAGGGGGTTAGCCTCCCACCCACCACAGTGAGTGAAGAAAACATTCCTTCTCCTTCCCTGGTGACCCCCAAGCATAGAGCCTGTCCTTCCAGGCATAGCAATTCCCTTATTATTTCACCATGCCCCTCCCTCTTTATTCTCAGTCTTATCTCCTTAGAATCACAGAAGAGAGGAATTCTAGAACAGACAAAAGCCATTTTTAGAGCTTCCAATGCAGAAGTCAGGGAAGATTTGAACCCAGGTCTCCTGACTTCTTAGAACTGTGCTCTTTCCAATCTGGACCTTCTGCTAGCAGTCCCATGGGAAGGTGTCACCTTCTCCCTTTGTGGCCAGAGCAGGGGCAGCTGGTCAGAGGATGTTAGAGCTACTCTTTACCAGCTCTAATTACCCCTGGGGCAAAGCTGGCAGTGTGAGGGATGTTCTCTGGTGCCTATTATGTTGTCCCCCCTCCCCCCCCACACACACACCAGTCATTCCCAACATCTCTATTATCCTTCCCCCCACACATACTAACCCACATGGGGGTGAGGGATCATTGCCCACCACCACTCCCAACACTCACCACATTCCGACCACAAGGGTCCACTTTCAGGAGCCATGTTGTGGAGTCTTGTACAGTGTTTTGCTTGAGCAGGGAAGGTGATGAAAACAAATCCTTCACCAGGTGTTTGGGAGTGCTATGTTCCACCCCACCTTGGGATCTGTCACCTGGGATACTATTACCCCTTCCACCTGACTAACTCCTGCAAGTTGATGATCGTTCTCATTGCTACTGGGCAATTACTCCTCCCCCATGATGTTAGGCTCGGCCACATGACTTGTTTTGGCCAATGAAGTAAGAGTAGATATAATGCAGACAGAGACAGAGGATGTAAATGTGCTTGTGCAAGGTGCTTGTCTTTGAACTCCAGTGACTTGCCATGAGAGGAGCCTGCCCTGAGAGCTTATGGCCTTCTTCCTGGGCTCCAAAAGGAATGAACATAGAAGAGACCTGAGCCCAACCCACAGCCTGGACCAAAACCACCCAGCCAAACCCAGCTCCTAATAGTCAAATTGCAGTCAACTGCAGCCTCAAACGCATGAAAACAAATGCTTGTTGCTATGGCCACTGAGATTGGGTTGTTTTCTTCCACAGCATGATTGCAGTAGTAGCTGGTCTTTAGCGTGCTCCTTCAGATGGACATCAGCTTCAGGTCTCCTTCTGAAACTACTCTAACCCCCCAGAGCAGGTCAGATCCCCACTGGCCTCCCTGCTACCTCCATGTGTCTGCCCAATCTGAGTCACACGTTTGATTATGAGAGCTTCAGCTCACTTTCGTTACCCTGCATGTAGGGACCTGTCAGTCTGGCTACCAGAAAAGCAGCTCCTGACCCCAAGGACAAGAACAAAGTAGGTGAGCACTAGATATTTCTTAAATGAAGAGTGGATTAACAGACTGCCTAGTGTGGGTGAGTGGTTGAGTTGAAAGGTCACCGGTTCAATTTCTGGTCAGGGCACATGCTGGGGTTTCGGGCTTGATCTCCAGTAGGAGGCGTGCAGGAGGCAGCCAATCGATGTTTCTATCTGCCTATCCCTCTCCCTTCCTCTCTTTCTCTAAAATCAATAAAAACTTTTTTTAAAAGATCAATAGGCAGATGGAAGGATGGATGGGCAAGGCTGGAGGCTTACCTGCATTTCCCCAGGTTTCTAGAACCACTCTGGCTTGTTATATGACTTAATGTGGGCCTCAGTTTCCTCTTGTAGAGGTTTGACTAGAACTGCTTAGCCTAATACAACAGCCTCTAGACATATGTGACTACTGAGCACTTGATATGCAGCTAGTGAGAATGAGGAACTGAATTTAATTTAATTTAATTTAATTTAATTTTAATATAAAAACTGATACTCAGTTTAGTTATAAGAAAACTTAGGAACAAGTTAGATATGTGGATCTACTTTTTTAAACTGTAAATTTTATGAAATCTAAATACAAATTAAGTATTTCCTATGAGAATTTGGCATCTAAATAGAGATGTGTGTGCCCTAGCCGGTTTGGCTCAGCGAATAGAGCATTGGCCTGCAGACCGAGGGTCCCGGGTTCGATTTCAGTTAAGGGCATGTACCTTGGTTGCAGGCTCCTCTTGGTCTGGGCCCTGGTTGGGTCTCGTGTAGGAGGCAACCAATCGATGTGCTTCTCTCATATCGATATTTTTCTCTGTCTTTCCCTCTCTCTTCCAGTCTCTCTAAAAATCAATGGGAATATATCCTTGGGTAAGGATTAAATAAATAAATAAATAAATGTATAGGTGTAAAATATACACCAGATTTCAAAGACTTAATATGAGGAAAAATCATAAAACACTTCATTAATAAATTTTTATATTATGTATTGAAGTGTATTTTAGACCTGTTGGGTTAAATTAAATATATTATTACATTTCTTTTCATCTATTTTTCAACTTTTTTTAGTACTAGAAAATTTGCAATTACATGTACGGCTTACATTATATTTCTAGTGGATAGTGCAGGGCCAGAAAGTCTCTAAGGTGAACAAGAGCTTGAAGTCAAAAAGACCTACATTGAAAATTCAGGCTCAGGCATTTCATAGCTGTATGACTTTGGGCAAGTCACTCCCCCCATCTGAGTCCCAGTGTCCTTACTGTAAAATAGAGATCACTGTGCCTTCCACAAAGATGTGTGATGAGGGTCTGGGGAGGAAATGTATGTACATTGTCTGGCTGACAGCAGCCACTTTTTCATTACTGTTGTCACGGTGATTTTCTGGACAATGCAAGCAAGTAGGTTGTTAAAAACATGGCAAACTCATATCCAGCCAGCACAGTACAGCTTCCAAAGAACGTTCCACTAAGCAGGTCCAAGTGTCCTCCCTTCTGCAGGAAAGGGGCCTGAGACTCTCTATGATGATGTTAAAATAGGTCCACAAAGTCACTGACACTGACATTCTTTTCTTCAAGAGGTGGAAACTAACCTGGCCATAGCTCAGTTGATTAGAGCATCATCCCAATACACCAAGGTGCTGAGTTCAATCCCAGGTCAGGGCACATACAAGAATCAACTAATGTATGCATGAGTAAGTGGAACAACAAATCAATGTCTCTCTCTCTCTCTCTTTCTCTCCTCCCCCCCTCCTGCTCTCCTAACCTCTCTCCCTCCCCTCTCTCCTCTCTCTCTCAAACCAATCCATCAATTAAAAGGTGGGAATTAATTCCCCTCTCTTTGAGTGTGGGCTGGGCTTACCGACTCACTGCTAATGAATAGAATAAAGCAAAAGTGACATTCAAGACTGGATCATAAGAGGCACTGTGGATTCCTCTTGGCTCTCTCTTCTGTGTCACTCACTCTGGTGGAAGCCAGCTGTCATGAGCATATTTAAGCAGCCCTATGATTAGGTTCATGTGGTGAGGAACTGGAGTTTCCTGCCAACAGCAATGAGTGAGCAATATTGGAAACAGACCCTGAGTCTACTCTAGCCCCAGTCAAGCCTGCAGATAAGTGTAGCCCAGCCAACATCATGACTATAACTTCATGGTAGGACCTGAGACAAGAACAATCCAGCTTAGCCCCTCTCAAATTCCTAATCCAAAGAACTTGAAAGATAATAAATTATTGTTTTAAGCTGCTAAATTGGGGGGTAATTTGTTATGCAACAATAGAAAACAAATACTTTCTTTGATCCTGTGCTTAAAGGCCTGCTTTTCTCCCAGGAAAGGGGCCCCAGTCTTGGGTCTGGTCCTTCTTGGGAGTTTGGGGACCACCACAGGACCCAAAGATCAAGGCACAAACCACAGACACTAGGTCAGGCTGCCTATGTGCTCACAGGTTGTTTATTTGTCCAAGAACAAGGAGGAAAGAGAAGATGAAGGGGAAACCACATGCCCCAAGGTGGTGGAGCTGAGGGTAGAAATGAACAGAAAGGCTCCTCTTTCTCTTGCTTCAGACTCCAGGGAACTCCAGCTTCAGATGGGGCCTCTGGGGTGGCTTTGGGGCCTCTAGGAGGCTTGGCAGTTGCTGGCTGGGGTCAGGATCCCCACAGGGGCAGTCCCAGGCTTGGAATGGCTTCTGTGTACACAAAATATCTCTCTGCAAAGGCACTGGTGGGGAGATGGGGCAGGGGCAACAGGGAAACTACCCCATCACAGCAGGATCCACTGTCCTGAATCTGGGTCCCAGTCCCCAAGACTATCCCAGCCTCCTCAGGGGCTGGGTCTCTCTGCACCCTTGTTCCTTTCCTCTCCTTTTCCTCAGCCCAGTGTTGAGCAGGCAGTCAGTGGAGGGCCAGGTCAGGCCATGGGGTGGACACCCCCTCCTTGGGGCTAGTGCATCTGGCGACCTCTAGGCCAAGAGCCCCAGGCGGGTGACTTTGGCCGAGAGGAAGGAGTGGATGATGAAGACCATGGTTTTGGGGCACGAATGCAGGTCCAGCTGCTGCAGGGTGGATGGAGAGAAGGGTCAGGAACTCCATGTAGCCTGGCCTCCAGGAGACCATAGCCCCCCGCCCCCTCCACTCACAATCTCTCCTTCAGCACCCCCGAAGTCCAGGAACAGGAGACTGGCACCATCGTCCGAGGACATCTGCAGCTTCTCAAAGGGCTGTCGGAGCAGCACAGCTTGGGCCGCACCTGGCTCAGCTGCCCACAGTGTGAAGCCCTTGTCAATGTGCACAGAGAGGTTGCAGGGACGGCCGTTCCACGTGCAGGCTGCAGGGAGGGCACATGGGCATGGGGAGGGTGTGTGGAATGGGCAGAGCTGGCCCTCAGAGACCACAAGCCTACCTCCAACCCCAACTGGCAGCTCCAAAAGTGGGGCTTGAATACCACCAGGGATGGGAGGCTCACTACTTGTCATGCCATCTGTATACCCACCCTGCACAGAGACACCCCTACCCTAACATAAGAAAGGTGGGCCCTAGCCAGTTTTGCTCAGTGGATAGAGCATTGGCCTGTGGACTGAAAGGTCCCGGGGTTCGATTCCAGTCAAGGCACATGCCCAGGTTGCAGGCTTGATTCCCAGTGGGGGCCGTGCAGGAGGCAGGCGATCAATGATTCTCTCATCATTGATGTTTCTCTCTCTCTTTCTCTCTCCCTCTCTCTTCCTCTCTGAAGAAAGAAAGAAAAGAAAGAAAGAAAGAAAGAGAGAGAGAGAGAGAGAGAGAGAGAGAGAGAGAGAGAGAGAAAGAGAGAGAGAGAGAAAGAAAGAAAGAAAGAAAGAAAGAAAGAAAGAAAGAAAGAAAGAAAGAAAGAAAGAAAGAAAGATGGGCCCATAGAAAAATTATACTTCTAGTATAATTTTTATAAATTCCCACTTCCAGTAGCACCAAAAGTGGAAAGGGGGAGTTTAAACTCTGCATGGACAGGAGGCTCACTTCCTAAAAAGGCATCAGCAGACCCACCAACATGGCCCTTGGAGACCTTAGAAACATGTAGAATTGCCCAGTTAAATATGAATTTTAGGTAAACAATGGATAATTTGGACATTCTTATACTTTAAAAAAATATTTATCTATAATTCAAATTCAAGTGTGTATCCTGTATTTTATTCTGGCAACCCTATTCCAAATACCATCTCTCAAATTCTCATCAGCAGACTCACAAAGCCTCGGGCAAGAAAAATCTGAGGGGTGGGGGGTGGGGGGGCGGGAGTCTCAACTACCGACCAGGGCACCTGCATGCCCAAAACAGAGGGCCCTCAAAGACCCCAAACCCTATGTTCTACCCGCCACAAGCACCCTCAAGAAAGAAGCTTGAGCCCTGGCCAGTGTGCTGCTCAGTGGTTAGAGCATCGGCCCCAAGCACCAAAGGTTCCACACCCAGCCCCCGTCAGGGCATGTGTGGGAGGCAACCAATCAACGTGCCTCTCTCACACCGATCTCTCTCTCTCTCTCTCTTCCCCAACCCCCACCCCCACCCCTGTACCTTCCACGTTCCACTCTCTAAAAAAAAATCAATGGAAGAAATATCCTCAGGTGAGGATTAACAAACAAACAAACGAACAAAAAAGAAGCGAGTTTGAGTGTCTCTGGGGATAAGAGACTCACCACCAAAGTGGCACTCTCAGACCAACCTACCCACCTGTAGACACCTCCTGCACACCCTCAGCGGCCCGGTGACAGCCATCCACCAGCTGGCGGGTCCAGGCAGCCAGCTCCTGCGGTGACTCCACGCTGAACAGGTGCGTGTCCACACCGTGGCGTGTGCCCGTGCGCAGGGCAAAGGAGAGCTCTGCGTCGTAGGGCACCGAGCCCTTGGAAGGGCCTGAGTGCACCAGCCTGGGGCACAGGAGGGGGAGGGCAGAGGGCTCAGCATGAGGCCTCGGGCAGCAGGGAAATAGCTCTCGGCCAAGAGGGAAGTCCTGGGAACGGACCCTGTGACTCCTTCACCACCTAATGGGGGGACAGGACTTCCAGACCAGCACTGATTGACTTATAGGAGATCATCCTCTGCCACCCTCCTCCTTGCTCTCAGCTCCAGCTACACCAGTGTCTTCAAACACACCAAGCACACTCCTGCCTCAGCACCTTTACACATGCTGTTCCCACTGCCCAGTCCGTTCTTCCCTGATTATCTACATTGTTCATCCCTCACTTCCTTCATACCTTGACTCAAATGTCATCTCTGTTTCCGTTGGTTTTTTATTGTCCTTTTCACTAGAATATCACCTAGGGTACAAATTTTTAACTAATCTGTTCACCACTATTTTCCCAGCAACTACAACAATGCCTGTCATGGGTCACAGCCTAGCCCAGGGTGACAAGGGTCCAAAACCTACTTGACTCCCACTTGTGTGTAATCTCAAGCAGCTCACTGCCCCTCTCTGGGCAACAGACCTCAGAGTTCTGGGCTGTAGCCCTCTTTGCTCCTCACCCTACACCCTCTCTCTTGGAGCTTCTGGTGAGACCTAGTCCCCCCCCTTTCCAGCCCTGAGCTACAGACCCACAAGTCCCCAGCTTCCTACCCAAGCTCCCTACCCATCCCCCACACACTCTGGACTCAACTTAGCCTCTTGCTCCAATCCCCTCCCTTTATCTTCCCACCCCTAGTCCCACTGTCTGCTCAGACACAAGCTCCAAGCCTCCCGTTCATCTGGACACCTCCCTCGCCCTCCCCATCTGGCAAGTACTAAGCAGGGTTAATTTTACCACCCATGTGTTTTTCAATGCAAATGTGGCCTTTCTTCTCCATCTGCTGCCTCTACCCACTCTCTCTCCTGCAGGACTGCCGCAGCCTTCCAGCTTCCATCCTGCCTCTCAGGTGCATTTTCCACCTGACAGCCACAGGGGTTCTTTTAAAACACAACCAGGGTCACCTCAACCCAGGCTAAAACTCTTCAACTCTGCCACAGCTCCTCTGACAAAGCTAACATTTCTTAACTGGCAACAGAGGCTCTGCAAAATCAGGCCCTGCCAACTCTCTGTCTCATTTCTCTCCATTTCCTGCATAGATTCTACACACTGGTTATATATAGCACACTCATAACTCCACGAGCACACGATAGCCCTTATGCTTCTGAACATTTGACTATGTTGTTCTCTATGAGATGCTCTCCCCCTTTCTTCAACAGCAAATGTCTTCTCATCTGTCGAAGTCCAGCTCAAATGTCACCTCCTGCCTGAAGCCTTCCCCCACTAGGCCAGGTAATTCTGCAATTCTGCATTGTAAAGGCTGTTCCCCACCAGACCTGGTGCTCCCTGAGGGCATAGACCAGTGGTTGGAAAACTCATTAGTCAACAGAGCCAAATATCAACAGTACAACGATTGAAATTTCTTTTGAGAGCCAAATTTTTTAAACTTAGACTATATATGTAGGTACCTCGTTATTAACTTAATTAGGGTACTCCTAAGACTTAGGAAGAGCCACACTCAAGGGGCCAAAGAGCCACGTGTGGCTCGCGAGCCGCAGTTTGCCAACCACGGGCATAGACTACTGGGGTCAAACCATGCAGCACAAGGTTGGACAGAGTAGGTGTCAATGAATGAGTGACTTGTGGGACTTCACATCCTTCTGTTTTAAGCCCCCATTCTACAGATGAGGAAATCAAGACCCAGACAGGGTAGAGACTAGCTTCAGACCACAGGGGGAATACCTCAGGGCAAAATAGGGCTAAAGTCCCTAACTTCTGAGGCCCGTCTAAAGCATTATCCCCCCGAGCTCTGGGTGATGCTCTCCTGCCTGCCTGTGGGTACCTGGTGGTGATGAGTGGGGCAGTCTGGGCTGGCCGGCTCAGGGCCTCACGGGTCTGGGGGAGACAGCTGTAGAGGAGCAGCTCCTTTTCAGTCAGCAGGGCCAAGGTGGGTGCTGTGCCCCCATTGGGCAGCTGCAGAAGACAAGGCAGAGTGAAGAGGGGCAGGGAGGGGAGAGGTCAGAGGGCCAAGGTGGGGAGACAATGGGAATGGGGTCAGCTCCAGGGGAGGGGAATAGAGGGAAGAATAGGTCCCTGGCCCAGCAGGCACCTGCTCAGTCAGCCAGCCGATCTGCTTGATGTCCTGGCTTCCAGCTGTGCTGGTAGCTGCCAGCAGTGCCTGCAGCTCGTCCTTGACCCAGGGCATTAGAGCATTGATTTGGGCTTGGATGGCAGCTGTCCACGACCTTGCACTAGCCTCCTCCGTGGCCCTCAGGAAGAGGGTGTCTTGACCATCTGCCGAACAGATCTCCAGATACCTGCAGGCACAAATGAGGTGGAGGGGGGGAGTCTGTCCACTCCTGCAGCTTACCAACCCTGAGATCTGGCCCAAGAAACCCCATCGACCACAAAACCAGAAGAAACCACAGGGGTGTCCATGAAAGAATTAGAGCAACACTTGCTGCTGGGGATCCAGCCTTGTAACCTTGGGCAGCTCACTCCCCTCTCTGGGCAACAGACTTCAGAGTTCTGGGCTGTAGCCCTTGCTGCCGGGGATCCAGCCTTGTAACCTTGTAACAGACTGTGTTCCTGTTATTGAGGCCTCATGGGGTCTAGTGACAAGAGACCATTAGATACACACACACAGGCAAACGCACATATAGGCATACACACACAAACACACACACTCAAAACACATATGATAGGGGCCAAAATTATCACTGTGTGAGGATTCATTATCTTGCCCTTTTTTCCCTGGTTTCTAAGGAGGACTGTCTTGCTGAGTCAGCTCCCAGGTTCTCCTTTATGGTACAGAACCAAAACAATGCACTGATTAGGCCAAGTTGGTCTACATAAAAAGAGCTAGATTAATGGAGTAGGGAAAAGGGAGGGAGATGAAAAGCCATGCAGGCAAGTGTTGGGGAAGGTTTTCAGGGAGGTACCCAGAGGAATAGTAACAGGGAGAGGGTTTTTAAATGTTTTGTGGGACATTAAAGATTCACTCCCCTTTGGCCTTTCTGTAACAGATGAGGTGGGACATAAACAAAATTATGGCTCTCACAACACCCACTCCAACCCCCTTTACCTTTGCCTTCCTCTACTGCAGAGCTAGAAAGCAAAATACTTTAATTCTCAGACTCCCTTGCAGCTAGGGCTGGCCATGTGGTCCAGTTGTGACCAATAAATCCCTTCCTGAATGAAGGGTAACACTTTCCTGGATGTGGCAGTCAGTCTCCAAAGATGGCCTCCAACTAATCTATCCCTCCCGGTACACACAGTCCAAACTTCTCTCATCAAGAGTTGAAGTTTATTTCTCCTCTCCTTGACCTTATAACTGATTTAACAAATAAAATGTGGCAAGAGTGACATTTTGTCATACTCCCAAACCACCATCAAACCCAACTACCCTGAGAGGGAGAACAAGATAGCCACCTGGAAAGGCCATACAGAAAGAGGAACGCTCAGCCAGCCCCTCGCTGTTCCAACCATCCAGCCGAAGCAGCAGACATGTGAGTAAAACAGACATCTTGGGCTTCCAGCCCCGGCAGATACTACATAGAGCAGAACTTGCCAGTTGAGCCAGCCAGAGTTGTAAGAAATCATAAACCATTATCTTCTAAAACACTGAAATCTAAGATGCTTTGTTTATGCAGCAACAGAACAAAATACCAGGAGGCAGCCAATCAATGATTCTCTCTCATCATTCATGTTTCTATCTCTCCCTCTCCCTTCCTCTCTGAAATCAATAAAGAAATATATTTAATAATAAAAAAAAGATGACAGGAGAACCCAGCCATTGTGGCTCAGTGGTTGAGCATTGACCCAGGAAGCAATAGGTCACAGTTTGATTCCTGGACAGGGCATATGCCTGGGTTGCAGGCTCAGTCCTTGGTTGGGGACATGCAGGAGGCAGCCAATAGATGATGTTTCTCTCTCATCAATGTTTCTATCTCTCTATCCCTGTTCCTTCCTCTTTCTCTAAAAATCAATAAAAACATATATTTTTTAAAAAGATGGCAGGAAAAAAGCTGAAAACCTGATCCCTTAAGGGCATTCTTGAGCAGTGATAGAACCTAAATAAACAGCTAACCCTAGACTTTTTAAATATGTGGAAAAATAAATCTCTCATTTATTTAAGCCATTGCTTGTTAGGGTTTCTGATACTTGCAGCCCAATGTAACCCTAAGTAAAAGTAAAATATTATTCATTATATATTAGTTAACAGACTGTGTTCCTTGGACTGGGATATAGTGCTGATATTGAACCCCAGTTATATTCAAGTTACACATGTAGTTACATATGCACGCACATAGTCAAGCACATATGCGCACATGCATATACACATATGAGCATTAACATAAACACACAAACACATACATGAATCTACACCAATATCCTTGCAAATGCTCACATATACACACAAACACTTGTATTTACATATCACCTACACATGCACACACATAGAAATACATGCACACACATAGAAATACATGCACACACATGCTTCAGGTAATGTCCGAGATGGGCTGGAAACCACGATTAACCTAAGGTTCTATGAGTCTCAGAAAGGACTAATAACCCTCACCTTCACCTAAGTCCCTTTGGTGGAACACCTGTAAGTGACCTGTGAATTACCACTTCTTGCCTCATGGGGGCAGGGTAGGGCTGGGTCATCAAGTAGGGCCAGAAGATTTGGATGCCAATATTGGGCATTTGACTGACATTGAACCTTAGCTATAACTCGGACCCACAGCACAACCTTTTTTGTCACTCCCAATGTATACACCACCCTCAATACCGCATACCCCACTTGATCAATATACACTCCATTCAACCACCACCATCACTCAGGCACCCATAGCTTCTAAAGCAGAGAGAGCTACCTGGAAAGAGGCAAGTTCCATCTCTTCCTGGTTGTGTGATTAACCTTGGGCAGTTTACTTCCTCTCTCTGTCCTCATCTATAAAATGGGGTGAAACAATAGGACTTTGTTCATAGGATCGCTGTGAGAACTAAATAATTTTGTTTGTGGTAAACACAATAATGTTGGCTGGTGTCAATCTTATCATCAATGAACTGTTAAGGGCTGCTCAGATGTGAAGGACGATAACCTTCCATGGCCCTGAAACAAGTATTACCAGACATCTCAGAATCGCAACAGAGTCGGTAGAGACTTGAGGGGATCACTGAGTCTGACAACCTTATTTCACAATGGGAAATCTAAAGGTTAGTGAGGAAAAGGGACTAGTTCAAGGAGAACCAGGACTGGAATCCCATTCAGGGCTCTCCATATTCAAAGTTCCTCCTCAGATGTGAACTGCCCAGAGGAAGAAGAGAAAAGCAAGCACACCCTCATCCCCATAACTTCACTCTTGCATCCATTCAACAAACATTTCTTAAGCACCTACCATGTTCAGGCATTGTATCTTTCCTTTGGCCCCACCACCTAACAACACCAGGGCATGACTGTCTGAGGTGCCCCCCACTCCAGGCTTACCTGGGCTCTGGGTCACTGGGGGTACACCTTCTCGAGATATATGCCATCTTCAAGGACATGTGTTTAGCACCGTTGAAGTCTCGGGGTGGGGGACCAGGGGAGGAAGGCTGCCGCTGAAGGGGTGAGGCAGGAGGCGAGTCCCAGCCAACCGAGGTCCCGCTGGCAGAGTTCTTGAAATATGGTGAGACTTCCTTCATGTACTTGACTGGTCAGGGGACAGGTCAGCAGTTACCACTGTGACATGGGTTCCCATGCAGCACACATCACAATTTTCACTAATTCATTACGACTTCAATTTATGACTAATGTCACTATCCTCTCCTAGGCTCAAGTCTCTGATTTTATGGTAGAAAATACTAGATGCATTCCAACATCTATTCTCTCATTTTTCCCGGTTTATAGACACATGGCCACCTGGAAGATAGGCTACATTTCCCAGCCTCTTCTGCAGCTAGGTGTCACCATGTGACTAAGTTCTAACCAAGTAAGTAGAAGTGTTTGGACCTTTGGGATTGACTGCTTAAAGGGAACAGACAACAGCTACAGCAAGGCAGTAAAAGAGCACCAAGAGGGAAGTTAGGAGATGTGACTGCTCTGCCACGATCCCATTGTCTGCCTCTCTCTCTTCAGTCTTTTCATCTGCAGAAAAGAGGGGTTGAATGAGATAGTCATGTGGTAGAGGCTGCTAACTGTCCTCCAGTATAGTGATAGCCTCCCAGCTTAAGACTTCATTTCCCAGTCTCCCTTGCAGCTATATAGGTGCTCATGTAATCAAGTCTGGCTGATAGGGTCAGAGCAGAAGGGGTGTGTGTAACAATGAAGTTCTGTCTATTAAAGAAAGGGGAAGATCCTTTCCCCCTCTTTTTCCCCAACAGGGTTAAGTTGGCTAGAACAAAGGCTGGTGGAGCATTATCTTAACTATGAGTACATGAGCCACACTCTAAGGAAGGCTGACACTTTAAAGATGTCATGTCAGACGTGGATGTTACTAAGAAAGCAAGGAGCTTCTATTATATTTAAGCCATAGTATGTTATGGGTCTCTTATTATAGCAGCATAACTTGTACTGTAACCAATATAGGTGCCTAAGGGCCCTCTTAGCTCTGAACAATCATCACTGAGTATAGTGGACACCTTAGAGAATAACATTGTCCAACAGAGCTCTCTGTGATTATGTAAATGTTCCCTCTCTCTCTCTCTCTCTCTCTCTCTCTCT